AAAGCCACATATATTCTATGACATAGAGAAACAATGCAGTCTAGTTCAGATATATACATGTACATTAGGATAAAAACAAATCTTGTGAGTTTACCAGATGGATGGCATAGGGAATAAAGCCGTTACAGAATTGGGAAGTCCTGCTGTAAATACTTCGAAACCTCCTCCCAGAGGAGAGCAATAGGACCAGACCCTGAAGTGGGTGTGTGGGCTCTCTAAAAATGCTTGAAGATCTAAGCACAGAGCGCTTATAAGCAGCATTCTGAATAATGGGAATCCTATGATCTCCGCTATCCTTACCACTCTCTGTATGGACTTTCTATCTGAGGCTCTGCTACCACCAAACCAAACAGGGATGCAGTTTGTTAGTCTCCATTTAGCCTCTCTAACAAATGGCCAGGATAGAAGGAGAAGGATGGGTTCTCCTCATCTGACACAGAAAATGCAGATGCTGGTTTGCATCTGTAGGAAACTCCTAGAGAGATGCAAAGTAACAGCATTGAAGGGACCTTGGAGGCCTTCTAGTCCAACCCTGTGCTTAGGCAGGAAATCCTAAACCACTTCAGACAAATGGTTATCCAACATCTTCTTTAAAATTTTCAGCGTTGGAGCATTTACAACTTCTGGAGGCAGGTTGTTCCACTGATTAACTGTTCTAACTGTCAGGAAGTTTCTCCTTAGTTCTAAGTTGCTTCTGTCTAAACTAATGCTTCTTATCCTAGCCTCAGGTGCTTTGGAGAATAGGTTGACCCCCTCTTCTTTGTCGTAGCCCCTCAAATGCTGGAACACTGCTGTGGCTAGTTTTATTTTTTGGACAGGGTGAACAAAAGTGTGAAGTTTTGGTTGCCCTGCAAACTAAAGGATCCTCTCTGCTTTCAATGCAAAAGTTGATTTATTGACTATTTTTCTTTAAAAGGGCTGGATCTATTTGGGAAGCTGAGAATCTCAGCTTTATGGAGGCTGTTTCCCTGTCCTCCAACCTCCCAGGTTGAAACAGCTTGAAGCTCCCCTGTCCTGGTACCCTTTGGGAGTCTCCCCAGGACTCCCCCAGTAGGTGGCTTAATGAGATACCTCTGCTTGCCTCTCCAATTGGAAACCGTCTATTAATTTTTCAGAAGGTGGACATGCTGGGAACAAAAGGAGCAGCCGTTATCATTAATGTTGATGCTTACAAGCCAGCTTGCGGTGGGTGGGTGGGAGGAGAGAGACCGAGAGAAGAAATCAAGGGATCGTTCCTCCGTTCTGAAGAAAATTAGTACCCACTCCTCTTAGAAGAATGAAATAGTTTAGGAAATATTTAAAAAGGCAGAATATTATATATTTCTCCTAAAAATACCATATTTCTAAAGAGCAGAAACTCAGAGTCTCAGCTCTCTGCCCCAAGGAGAAACTTAAGGGGTCCAACTTTTAGAAATGCAGATTTTGTAATCCCTTCAAGACAGGCGTCAACTCATAAAATTGGCATAAAAAGGCTCGAGACTCATGAATCAGTTAGGGCAACTTTCGGAAACCTGACAACAGGGTTAAATTCCCCAAGGAAGCCAGCGTTTAGGATTAATTACATTTGTTAAACAAGATTAAAACACACCAACCAGAGGTAGGATTCTACCTGTTCAGACCAGTTCAGGTGAACCAGTAGCTCCGTCTATCAGCTGGCAGCAAACCGGTTCGCTCCAACTTTGAACTGGGTCCGCCCACCTGCCCCTGAGCTACACTCACCTATTCTGACCCCCCCTCGTCCCACACCAAAATACTCTGAGCCAAAGATACTTTACGGAATTTATTAACAGACAGACAGGTCCTTGGCAGCAAACCGGCACAGATAAGCCTTGGCAGCAATCCCGCCTGCCAGGCTCACAATACTGTTCTCCAATATTTGTTAATGCGT